AGCTGTAAAAAACATTTCCTTTATCAACACAGGGAAAAATATTCCTGTCCTTCAGACAAGAAAGGATTCTCTAATTCCATAGCACTTCCCTGACTGATCCCCTCCAGCACTTAACTACACTCATGCTTGCAAAGTTTATCCAAACATCTATCCCACGTGTCTTTTCCTGAAAAGAAATAGTAAAACTTGCTTTGAAGTCACAGGGCCACAGTTTTGCGGGTGGAAACAATATAAAATTATCTTTGCATTGCTCCCCTATTTCTGTTTCCCCAGTTCTCACGTGTGCAAATACAGTCTAACTATTACTTGGTCTTCTGTAAAGAAAGTCTTAGTAGAACCCTAATTAGGACAACCGAGCTTAACTGTCAACCTAATAAACAAATCTGTGTTCAGCAATGGAAGTATACTTAGGATTCCCCAAAATGTTGTTATTTTTATGAAAAATACACTAATTGTAGCTGAACAGCTGCATCCTCTTCATTTAGTTTAAGAATCCCCTTTGTAGTCTTCAGTGAAACTTTTCTTAATTGCCAGTAGCCAGTTTCATCGATGTGGGCACGCAGATTTCATTCAATGTGTATGGCGTTCCTGAATAAAGATTTCCAAATGAACAGAGCAGTCACAACACTCAGAAATTTTCATAATATAAGGTACAAGGTACAAATAAGCACTAGCACTTTAAAAAGGTTAAAACAGCGGTGGATCCTGACAGTGTGCATCATTTTCTACTGCATTAGGTAGATTTCTTGTACAGTCACGAGGCAAGTATTTCTCTACTGTAGTTGTAATATGCTGGGGGTTTTTCTCAACACCTACAGGAATTATTTTTTTTCAGTGGACAAAGGGAATACAGTTAGCAAACAGTTAAAAGTCATGATATTATTATAATAATCATTATAATAAAGACTTTAAATGTATATGAAATAAAGTAGTAAACTACTATTATTATAAAATATGATGTGATGTATGCAAGAACAAGTGTGTAAGTAATCATGCAACTTGCTGACAACTTTTGCACGCTCAAATACCTCCTAAATACAAGATATATCTAGAAGAAAAAGCTGCTGCTTGTCATTATAGAATATCCTATGAGTATTAAAAGCAAGATACGGATTTGAAAGTTCTAGAGGAATATTACAGTAGCTCGGTATAGATATAATGAAGAGTGATGCTTTTCTTGTTTTAGTTACACTATTCTCAGAGCATTTTAGGCGATCCTGGGGAGAGTAACAAAACTGCAGAGAGAGTGGTCAGACAGAGTGGCCTAACTTGAGTTATTCACGTGTACCCCTAAGAGAGGGTAAAAACTCAGACCCTTACCCTCTTGCAATTCCGCTTCTCAGAGATTTTCAGTGTGAGTGCAAATCGGAACCCCCTGCTGTCGAGGCGAAAGCCACCCGGGTCCTCCCTCGGTCACCTGTCACCTCTGCAGAATGAGAAAAGCCCACGGCCCAGGCATTCCAGCAGGATGAGGTGGGAAATGAAAAAGCTTGCCAAGAAAAGCCAGCTCGCAGTGGAAAGAACCTCCCTGGTGAGGGGGAACAGAAAGGGGAAAAGAAACCTCAGAATTTCTGATCTTTATGCTGTGGTTGAACAACATTTTGCAAAGTTCAATAAAGAAGACAAGGATGAAAATTATTGTGCGGTCTTCAGAGAGACAACCTAGCAGGATTTCCAGAGCAGGAAGCATAAATGTATTTCCTCTTTCTTTCTCATTTCAGACCTAGAAGAAATAAAACCTACAGCTGAGAAAAAAAAATGCTACTTTTCCACAACGCAAACAGACAACACAGTTTACAAGGCAAAGACCACTTTCTGTACTGTTACAGGGCTTAGCACATTGCTCCTCAGTTTGTGGTACTACAGGTACCTCCTCATCCTAAGAATACACCCAAATGCTGGAGCATCGAGACGAAACTAAAACCAGCTGCACTGCGTAGTGCCAAAGTGTCACCTAACCTACGGTCTTGCATCCAACAGCGTTCAGTGGCGCACGGCAGAGGACTGTAGGACTGTCACCGGCATCCAGGAACACCTCCCTGGTTACAAACTCTATTTCTAGCGATCAGTCTTTGAGTTTTTGGTCCAGATGTGTTACTTCTGCATTTTATGCCTCTATGCGCTTTGCTTCCATTAATGTCTCAGTCACATTTTACACCCACGTAAGCTCTTATGGCCAGTTTTACCATTTAAGCATGCCATGTGTGAAAAAATGCTGCTCTTCTTTCACTTTGGACTGGCTACCTCCACGCGCCTTTTCCACAGCACTCCTGAACTTACAGATCCCTGCTACCTCCTTACGGAGCCGCCTCCTTCCCAGCCAGAGGAGTCCCAGGCAATGCAGCTGCTTCTCAGATGCATTGTCATTACACAGCTTTGACTACTTTCATCCTCGGGTTGGAGCCCTCCCTAGTTTTGCTACGTTTTCACAGCAGAGCAGACCGAGTTTTACTTATGTTAAGAACTAGCTGCACCAGCGATCTACGGAGCGTAAAACAGTTTTGTTTCACTCTTTATCTCCTACTGAGTCATTCTTAGCACTTGCCTGACCGGCTGCTGGGCAGTGAGCTGACGTTTCCATAGAATTACCTACATAACTCCAAAATCACTTTCCTACATAGCAGTAACTACTTCAGAGGCCCCCGCTGCAATGAAATTGAGAATTATATTTACGTTATTTTAGCAAATGTTGAATTACATCTTCCATTTTCTCAGACACTCAGTATCATTGAGGTTGTTCTGCTACTTTTAACGCTTTCCATTTTTGTTATTTTTGAGAACCCAATGTAAGTGCAAGCATTTACCCCTCACTAACTGATCTGTTACGCATCTGCTGAGCAGCAGAGTCCTGCTGGCCTCTTTTAGCAGCCTCTCCGTGTTGGGAATATTGGTAATGTCTTCCTTTACTCTTTATTATTCTGTTTTGCAAATAGCCAGGTAACATTAAGGCACCTCCACTCTTCCACCAGCGCATCACTGTTTTTTAAAGAAGCTTTAATGAGAGACCCTGTCTCAACGCCTTTACGTAGCCTACATCAACCTGGCCTTGCCTGCTCAGCGGAGCTTCCAAGAACCGGCCCTGAGGCAAGGACTCTGCCAGCACGTACCTGCTTGCACTGCTCACTGCTTTTACACTGTAATCACCCACTGAGCCTTACGCTTCTCTCACAGGCTTCCTGTCCAGGAGAAAACAAAACAAAAGCATATGCAGGTTTTGTTGTTCTGCATCTTCAACTTACACATTGCTTTTTTTCCCCACATTTTTCACATTTGTCCATTTCTGCTTTCTTAACTTAGACACAAAATATTAATGTAGTAATGAGGACAAAGTTAAGTTTTTTCCTCTTGTGAGTTCTCAAACTAGCACCTCCATGAAAAAGTAATTTATATTGTCCAACAAAACAGTGAACCAGTGCTCACAGTAAAAAAACAAAATGAAATTTCTGTTTGGATTTGCAGTCTCTGCACCACCTTAGGTATGACTACCACTAGAGTGAGGGATTTTGCTATACATGGTCTTAATCCTCAGTGGACTTATTTCTTAGCCCTAGAGACTTAGACATTCAGTTCAAGGGGCGTCTACATTACCTGTTGCTTATTTAACTTCAATTCATAGCGTGGCACCAGTTTCCAACAGAACAAATAGTTTGTTATCTCCATGGTCTCAATAGCCTCACTTAAAACCAGATATTCTAGTCCTCAAGTGTTTTTTTAGACTGAGGTTTCCACAGAAATACATACAGAGTGGGTTCACCGTTCCCAGTTTTAGTGGAACCTTAGTTACACTGCTCTTTGATGTTTATTTCCACCAATTTCTATTCTATTATTTTACCAAAGTCTAATTCATCATCCATAATCATGTTTCCTTCTTACACATCTACTTGTACCCAGTTCATGAATTCGAAATGCCTACTTTTTTTCACTTTTAAACAAATGTTGTGACAGAAGCCTGGTTTCATTTTCATTCAGATGAAGCCTGCTTTTTCTGCACATATTCCTATTGCTGATGAATTTAACTCGTTTTATTTCCTTGACACTATTTGCATAGTTACGCACCAAAACACTGCCTCTCTCCCTCTCTTCTCCTCTGCATGGGTTTGGAAAGCTACCATGGTCGTGATCTTCCAGCCTGATAGCCCAAAGAGCAACCCAGTGCCAAAGTAAAAGCCCGACGGGAAAGTAAAAGCCCGACGGGAAAGTGTATTTTTTTGAGTAGTGGAAGGAAGGAGGAAGAAGAAAAAGGGAGTAATAATCTTGTTTCTGCTCAGTGCTGCTGCATGAAAGAGCCATACTGAAACAACAAAAGGAAAGCTACAAATGATGTCCAAAATAATCAAGTGGGGAAAAAAAACATAACTACAGAAAATCTTCCCATTACAATCACAGTCCAGGGTCTAATCTGAGGATCAGTGCTATGTGCACAACTCGCAGATCCAAGCACTTAGGGGCCTGCATTTAGGCTTCCTGACATGCTCCTCCCTGTTACCCTCGGGATTCTACAGCAGGATGAACTGTTTCTCCCTTTCTTCTTTCCTGAACCATGTATTCAGTTTTACATGGAAACCACTGTCCAGGAAGGAATATGGCAGCTGCAAGACAACACTTACCATGGTTTTCCTCCCCTTCCTATTTCCATCTGTGCCATGGAAAGAGGAAGGCAATCCTGCCCGTGGGTATCTCTTGACATCGTAGGGATTTTTTTCTTTTTTTATAAACCACATGGAAAACAGAACTTTTACTTTTGTGCCTATTTAAGCAGGTGCCACTGATCATTGGGAGAGAGAGACATCAAGGCAACTGGTATTTCAGCATTTGCCCATGTATGTATTAGTTATCCACCCACCAGAGAAATGTCCTCCTGCACAACAATCCTTCAACGTGGGTCATGGAAAGCAATTTCTTATGCAAACTCAGCCATATTCTTCTGAAACCAGTTCAGGGACAAACCTTCTTTTGACAAATGTACAGAAAACATTAATTTGAGGAGTTGAGGTTGTTTTATTTTAACACCTAATACAATTCAAATTTAAAGGATTACTTGCACAAAAAAATAAACACATTTGGTATAAAAATTTATCATCACTTTAACACCTTTTTTTCCTCTTATGGCCTGCGCCTTCTCTGGAGCAGAAACATATAAAGACTAATGGCACAAGTTCGTTTTATTCTACAGCATTTTTTTTTGTTTTTACATACTCAAGTACCCTAGAGGACAACAGCCCGCTGTATACAAGAACCATTTTCTTCAGCCTGCTGAATTAATTTTCATAAAGAACCAAAGCTATAAAGGCATTTTAAAAACCATTGTCTCATTTTTTTTTCAGAAGCACTGACTTTTTGCACCATTTATATACATAGTGTTACATAACAGCTCTTGAGTACAGTACATGCAGCAGAATATATCTGTTGAATATAAAACATACATTTAAAATCTTGACTTCTTGGAATTTTTTTGAAGATTGAGTAATTGTAGAATGCCCACTGCTTAAGAGAAAATGGTTTGATAGTACAAATGTCTGCATATGTCGGCCACTGGAACAATCCAAGGCTCACTGGAATAGTATCTGTAGCACATCAATGTGCATAAATAATTTACTTACAATATTAAAACACAACTAGCAAAATCAAGATCTTATGCCTGCTATGTTAACCCCTAAGTGGTTGCAAGGAAGTGTGGTGGGGGTTCCTCCCCCTCCCAAGTCCTCTATAAAACCTTCAGTATGCAATTTGTTTTCCAGATGAAGAAACTTATTTATGTCTACTGCCTCTTCTCTTCATTGCAGCTGTACACTGTGGACAGTACCATTTCCCTTTCGGTGCTTCTGTCAGTCCAACACACCCGTAGTGGAACCACTCAATAGGGCACTATGAAAACAGAGTTAAAGAGAGGGTTTGGGATTTGGGGATTTTTTTCGAAACACCTGTCACAATTACAATTCTATGAAAATGAAGTGTGAGTAAAAAGCATAGATTCTGCTTTCCACACGAAGTCAGAGGACAGAACAAGAAGAGAGGAGGATCTCAGTCCCCAACATACACTCAACAGACCAAGGAAAGTGATAAAAATTCTAGGAGTCATATATGGACTCACATAACAGAGCAAAAGAAGTATCTTGTGATTCAAAATACTCCATCTGACAACACTAAGCGACACAAAAGCAATCACTCACTTCTGTTTAAATGTAGCATCTCAGCAAGTACGCGATTACATTCAACTGTCCTTCTAAAACTCTTTTTATTTGAAGGGGACAACTGATATTAGTACTGACATAGCTAAAAGTTCCCAGAAGTAAAGGGCATTTTAAAGATGTCAAACCTTCCCAATAAAGGCTGAAGCTTTCTAAAAGAACGTGTACTGTAGGGACAGATGAGGAGAAGTTTCCTGAGGAATGGTTCAACTCATAAGCGCATCATTACTCTCAAAAACTCTTAACAGCAACTCCAAAGAAAAGTAAATCCTGCAAGTGATAGTTACATGCACAAGCGTCTCATGAACCTTTTTAACTTTGTTACTTACATCTTGGTTATCACAGCCTACCATTTCACCATAGGACACCTAGTAAATAAGAAGAAAAACCCTTATTAATAGTTGTATTACTAATTAAAAGCAACCAATGTTTTCAGAGGGCTAAATTTCAAGTTTCTTCCTCTGACGAGTTTTTCCATTAACAGCAGCAACAATCTTAATTTTTTTGCTAAAAAACCCAAAGAACATGTTCAAAGCAAATTGATTTTCACAAATTTTTTAGGAAAAAAAAAAAAAAAAAAAAAAAAAGCCAGTCCAAAAGATACTTCTGCATATTTCAGACTGGATGAAAAAGGTCAGCATTCAAAACCTGAATGAAGCACACCATGCTCAGTATGTTATCAGCCCAGTTTTCAAGATTATATTGATGCCTGGCATTTCCCTTGCATGCATGACAATTTCAAGCACTTTATCTGAAGCAACCCAATATTTTCAAAAGATTTACAGAATTCTATAAACGCTAAAAGAGCCAACACTCTCAAAAATGTTTAAAATATGAACAGGCATTTTTAAAGAAAAGTTTCTCATGTTCTCATTCAGTCTCTCAAATTTCCAGATGATAGCTTCTACAAAACTAGTATTTTGTTTGTTTGGGGTTTTTTTTGGTTTGTGGGTTTTCTGGGTTTTGGTTTTGTGTTTTTGTTTGGTTTTTTATTTTTAAAAGGAAAACTGGAGAGACCAGGCAAATCCCTTACTAACATAAAATTTTAACTAAATTCACTATGAACCTGTTCAATTTTTAATTTAATTATTCCTGAAGTCTTCATTAAAAGGTTTAAAACTCTCCAGATAAGTCACATCACTGGAAAACTTGCTTGTTTTTAGCTTCAACAGTTGAGTTCATTATTCATATGACCAGTAACATTATTCATATGACCAGTAAGTAAATAAAAACAGACCAGAATTTCCAGACTGCAAACAGAATGTTTTTAAATTAGCAACCAGAGAAGGAAATTGAACTATAGCAAAATAGCAGCTCTTGTTATATTTTGGGTTGGAGCCCATCCTTACCTGATTACAAATGCAGTAACGTGGCTCATTTGGATCATAGGTCCAGTCAACCTGGCTATTAGAATCAGACTCTGGTATTACTGCTGTTTGCTGAGACAGTTCTTGTGCCAGTGCAGATGAAGAAGAACATGATGACAGAGATGAAGAAGAGGAAGATGATGAGGACTGCTGACTTGAGGATTTGTTGTTGTTTCTAAAGAAATTGAAAAAAAAAAAAAACCAAAAAAACAAAGCACGCATATCGTAACTTAAACTCATTTCCTGCCAAGTGAAAGGATCACAAAACAAGTACTTTGTTCATTCTCAAATACTGCAGTATGTAAATCCCAAAGCATCATTCAACAATTGCAAGAACGGAAACACTGAATGCTCTTTGGAAAAGGAAACAAATCTCACCAGCTTACAAGTGCAAGACAGGCTATTCTAATCAATGGAATTTAACAGCTTTAAACTGTCAAATGGCTTTAATCAATGTTTTTCTTCACAAAATTTTCCATCAACAGCCTTGGTGTAAAGTCCCCATAAAAATGCATTACGAATAAAACAGGAGTTTACATGTAAGTAATGTCACATGTCATGTAGACTAGATGGCTGTGTTTTGAACATGACTATGTTAATCTCCACTCAAGCATCACCAATCACTCCACAGGAACAGTGCCAGAATACAAATTCTATGCTTTTTCTTATAGGTCAGATCTGACACCCGAGATATCCATAGATGAAAAATGCTTCTAAGACAAAACAATTAACTGCGCTGTGAACAAACACAGATTTGTATGGAGACAACCACACAAGTTGATTTAGAAGAATGGGCATTCTGAGACAAACTCTTTCAAGCACAACTTGTGATTGCTATCACAATGTGTTGTGACATCATGTTGTTTAAAATGCTTTTAAATTTCATTTTAATCAGAAATAAAATTCATTCTGTCTCCTGTCCTAGAAGGTCAGCCATCAGAAAGCGTTGTCATTATTTGTGAAGTGGTGTAAAGCAGATCTCTAGATTATTTCAAAACCACCTACAAAAGCAGAGTAGTTTCCAACATTTGCCATTAGGCCAAATCTTCTCTCCAGACCACAGAAAAATGAGGGAAGAAACTAGAATATAATCACAGATGAAAAAGCAAACCAAGACATTTATTTAAAACCTTGGAGTAAGTTTGTTTAAAGAAAAAGCGAGAGGACAAAAGAAAACCCTGAACAAAAAAGGACCAGCAGGCAATAACTATCTTTTGCTGATCCCCCCCCTCCCAGATATTAAATAGGAAGTATTTCTAATATGGCCCGTGACCTTTAAAATAAGGCTTAGCTGTCTTAAAAGCTATAATTGCAGTCAACAAGAAAACCTACTTGCTTTTTCTGCCACTTCGTGAATCTGTGGTTGATGAACTTAATGTCTGTGTTAATGTAGATGCCAGAGCTGATGACGAATATCCAGTTGAATCTCTGGATAACGAAAATTCTCTTCCAAGCTGAAAATCACTGTTCTTAAATGCTTCATAGCTGGCTTTTAGACTGGATGTTCGTCTTCCTTCCTTCATCTAAAAGGAATACTGGTATTGTATCAGATTACACAGTAGAGCTCTTACAGAAGACATCCTAGGCTGCTAATTGCTAATTATTTGCACAGGTTCATTAGTTACCCTGTTAACAAAATTTTGTATAGTAAGTGGTAAAAAGGTGTAAGAATATCCCACAGGAAAAGCTAGAAAACAAGCTGTCCCTTTATGCAAGTTTTACAGGATGAAACTGTAGCATATAAACAAAAACGATAATATGAGAACTGAATCCCATCAGCTGAGACTGACCATGGGAATTCAGATTAAAAAAAAAAAAAAGAAAAAAAATCACTAGTCTTTCTTCTTAGTCAACAGTGGATGGCAGAATGACAAGAATGTTTTGACAGTACCTGCGCCGTGGCTTGCACTGCTTGAGCTGCTGCCATGGTAATTGCACCGGCCCCGGATCCTGAAGATAATGAGCCCAGGTTATATGATGCCAATGGTTGAGAAGAGTTTGTATTGTATGCATTGTTTGAAGAGGATGATGAATTACTGTTTCGACACCCTTGATGAACAGAACACATTTATGAAATTCAAAATGAAACTAAATTCCTTTGCATTTTAAGAAGAGTTATATATGACAACCAGTGAAAGAGTAGAAATTCCATTTATGCATCAGAGCAGTCTGATCATTTGGAAAAAAGTTTAAAGTCATCTGACACAGCCAGTATTGGCTTAAGGAAAAAAAAAAAAAGGGGGTTTGTTCCTCATGGGAAAGGTTAAGTTAAAAGACATCTCACCCAGCCAGTATTGGCTTAAGGAAAAAAAAAAAAAGGGAGTTTGTTCCTCATGTGCAAGGAGTCCTGTTAGAAAGACAGTCCTCACTATCATATTCAGCTATCAAAGGACAGATGCAGCTGCTATGTCCATGTCTACATAATCCCAATCTCCGTTGAAATGATGCTGACTACTGTAACCATCAAGAAGAGATTAAGAGTTTGACTGTACACCTATACTGTTTCTGAAGAAAAACAATCTTCATTCCAAAAAACTACAAATCAATCTACGATCAAACTACAAATCTACAAAACTACAGTTTTAATGCAACACAGAATTCCATGGCCATCTACAGACTGACAGCTGCAAACACTTTATTTGCCACCTCATGTGAAGTTCCTTCAAGAGAAAAGTAAAATGGGTATGAGGGAGACTACTTAAAACTGGTGAACAGCACTAAATTCCAAAACGTAAGGCAGTTTATTTACTATAAGCTCTCACAATCTTTATTTTCAGAAAAGAAACCATGAAACACCCTAATTTTGAAAAAGGGCAGAAGGTTGTGGGGGTTTTTTTTTATTCACTACCCCAAAATAGACAACACACAAAAAAATTTTATTTTATTTTACCCAAATGCCACGTCAGACCACCCGTTAAAAAAAAAAAAAGAAGCGTGAGAATTATTTTCCCTTATTTTGGAAATTGTTGTATGCATTTGTTTTTCACAAAATAATAATGCATTGATCTCTCATATTTCTACTACCGGCTGAATGAAACTGTACTGTTATCTTCTTCCAGGAAGTGTAAATAAAAAAACCCAGCCACCATAAATTAAAAAACCAAACAAACCAGCTACCATACAGCTGTTAAGTGATAGCAAAGCTGATGCACTTCATGGACAACACAGATGAGTAACAATGCCTGCAACTTCTCATGTTTCAAATGACTGAAAATCCCAGAAGAAAGGGTATGAGCCTCTGATTTCAAAATACAGTAACTCACAAATATAGTTGGGTTTCTCTTCTTCCAATTAAAAAGCAATAAAATGCAAGACAATTAAGATTACCTGGTGTATTTTCTTTAGAAGCATCTGAAGTCAGGGTAGATAGGAGAGCTTCAGATTTAAACTTCTTTTCAGGAACATGATCTGTGGTACTATGGTGAGAAGACGGATTGTGTTTCCTTTCTAAATGAAACAAATGAAGGGAACTTAAATGCAAAACCTTTTCAGCTTGAAAGTTAAACTATAATTAGAGATAACAAAACAGCACTTTCAACTAATTCCCATCAGTAGAACCTTATTATTTCATCCTTGCACTTTTTCTGAAGACATTATCATAATTGCATTATGCCTTCCCCCCCAACGTTTGGAAAGGAAGAGAAGAGTTCCGATTTTTTTTTTCTTCCCTAATACTACGCAACAAGGAAACATTAAAAGTGGACATGTTTTCAAATCTCAAATACTTACTCTCTACTGGAGTGTGAGAATGGGCATGATGATTATTCACAGGCTGTGATGGTGTATCCAGCTCCAGAGACCCTAAGAGAGAGGTAAAAAGGACAGGAAAATTTCAGAGTCATCATTGGCATGGTTTTGGGTTTTAGCTACTAAACAAGTCTTTACAATATTAACCAAATCACTATGCAGTTATATTTATTTTAATCAGAAAGATTTTTTTTCTAGAGTGGAAACCCTTCCTATAGTCCAACCAGGAGCCAGCGAGAACAGCAGCTTTAAAATAAAAATTGGTAACTGCTGCTGTTCAACTGTTGAAATTGAGAAGTTAAAATCAAGGCCAATAAGGAAAACAACTTTTCCCTCAACATGCCACTTTTTCAAATGAGTTGCACACAAGCCGGTGATGGTTGGAGAATGCTGTACCAAAAGTACTGGCAGTCTACACCAATATGAATTGAAAAGAAGATTGCAAAAGGTAAACTATATTAACGAGGCATCTTGTCCCACCGAGTCCATCTTGTCACACTGAGTCACACAAGCACTAGCAACATCTTTCAAGATGATCTAACATTCAACAAGAAGGGCTTCAGATCATTATCCAAATTTTTTTAACATTCAAAATACACAGAGCAACAATCCAAAGAAAAAAGAAAAGGCAGGGGGGCACAAACTCAAGTCTATATCTAAGAATAACATTTCTTGTAATATGAGGGTAAATGATTGCAGCATAGGAGACACTTTGACCACAAATTTCCATTAGAAAAATATACAACAGCTTGTGTGTCAATCTTTGGCAAAAAGATTTTGAACTGGCTGCAATACCTACCAACTTGCATTTATACAGAAGACAATTCAAGCAAGTAATTTGCATTCATTTTTCAAAATCTGTATCTTCAGCATTTCTCTACCTCCTTCTTTTTTAGTGCTTTCAAAAACGTACATAAGTGTATTACAAAGTTTAAAGAAAATTATTCTAGAAGAGGTTCAAAGCATAAGGAGATATTTTGGGTGTGCTAACATTAATCATGTTACGAACTAGTCCAAAGGCTGCCCTCTGGCGGAACCTCAACAATATGTATTTTCTGAAAGCTAAAAATGTTAAGAGGCTTCTACTTTTCACTTTGTTAAAAAAAAAGAAGAGTAAATACCTTAAAGATGTAACATGCAACCTTGTAGATTTCTGGTTTGAGTTACTGAAATTCAACCTACCTACCTCACCAAACACATAGCTCAAATGAAGGTGGTATCACGTCTTAAAACTGCAGCCGGGATTCCAACTAAAATGAACTGGTCCTTTCCTGTAGTTGCTAGTTCATTAAAAGCACTTACTTTGCAGTTTTCTTTTTTGTGTTATTTGTAATAGCAGTTACAAATAAGATATCCAAAACATCCCAGCTTTTATGACAAAGCCACACAAGGTTGAAAGAAAGAATATTTATTCCTAATGTCTTCAAATGATTTAGGTTTCTTTTCACCGTCCTTGCATATGAAGAACAGTCACTGCCTCTTAGCTCCATAATCACAGTAGTTAAATCAACTTTGAAATTTATCATAATCACATTTGAACCTGATGTCTAAATGCTGACATGTACAGAAAGGCCAGATTCTTCTACACCAAGTTGGTCAAAAAGCCATTTTTGTTCACATTCTGAATGTATTTGTTAAGCATGTAGGTTTCTTAACCCAAAATGCTTTTCCATTGCTACCCCATTAGAAAACAACCATTCTCTCCCCTTTAAAAAAAGAAAACCACCAAGTACCTAACTTCACTTGACACTCCACACGTATATCCAAAATACACTCTAAAATATACTCCTCAATTTGGTGACAATCTTCAAGTAAGGAATGGTATGCTTTCAACTGGGTAGGTGGCAAGCTTAGGCTGAAGTACTTGTCTGAATACCTACAGTCATTAAAAATGGGTTTAAAGAATTCTGTACCTTACTGTAGCAATTCACCAGTGCAAGAGTTGTGTGAAAAAAAACAACTATTCTAATTACTCAGTTGTATTTTGACTTTACTGGTGAAAATTCAGGTAGAAACTAACATTTGAGAATCACAGACTGATGAAAAGCATGTGGGTCAAAACACAATTTTGGAACAAATAGAAATACTGCAGGCCACTGGCAAGTTTACGATAATTTAATTTTGCAAATTGACAGAAAATCTGTCAAGTACTTAAAGAAAATCACACACACTTACTTCTCTCTAGTATTTCTGTAATTCCAGCATTATCTGCTTCAAGTTCCATTTTGAACTTAGCAAGTTCCTGGTCCAATTTTCTCAAATGACGGTCTACCTGTTTTTGAGACAAAGCAACAATAAATAGCATCCAGTTCTGGAACATGAATATCTACACCCTTAATCTACACCTTAATCTCAGGCCTGCTAAATATTTCCCTTCCAGGAATTCTCTTTCATGCAGCACTCAGCACGTATAAAACCACACAGAAGCGTAACTTCTCGATCACCTACATTTCCCTAACTCAGCAGAGATACTAGAATTAACACCAAATAGCCCTGTTGCTCCAAAGCTGTGCAGTCAATCACAGGATACAATAAGGCCGCATGTTGGCTCAGCATCTAGAAGCCTTCATCTTGCTGTAGGCAATGTTCCAAGCCACAACCTTAAGTGTTTCTTTTGGGGAAAAAAGATTAAGAGGACTTAGGAGTGTTGTAGATACGGGTAGAGAAAGAAAAAGAGAAAGAACAGTACATGACATGCACTTCGGAGGAGGTTGGGCTGCATGGGGAAATTGCAAGTTTACTGAATTGCAAATTGTATGCCACTATACACATCGGTAAGCTTAAGTACTGAGTAAGAGGGTCTCTAAACTCAAAATGTAAAGACTCTTGTGCGTTTGAGTAAAGTATGACATACTTTTGGGTATAGAGAATTGCCTTAAAAAATTTAAACTTAGTATCATGGAAAGAAACACCGAGTTCCAAATGCTTTCTTCATCTGTACTCACACAGAAGAATACTGTACCTATCTCTAAACTATTAAAAATTGAACAGGTTTTTGCAGTTACCAGCTAACCAAAGGAGAGGGGATAAGTTCCAACTTTTGGAACTAACTTTTGGTTAGCTGAAGTGGAACTAAAGCAGACACGAAATATTTGGTTTATGTCTGCTACATTTTAGCACAGTCTGACTTGTGGGTTCTGTTCTCTGAGAAAATGTAAAGTAAATACACTTAAAATTCAAACCCCACATACTGTAAGAAGAGTAACTTACTTGTGGTGTCTCTTCAGAAAAAAATCACTAAGAAAATCAACATGCCTGAAAACCTTAGGATTTCTAAAGTTATTTCTGCATGTTTTATATTTAAATGACACTTTACTACCCAAAGCAACAAAACTCTTAAAATTCAATAAAATATTAAATGTTTCTTTCACTGGCAAAACTATCTGTATGCAGCTGACATAACAGTACAGGTATCACAGCTGTAGTGCTTATCAAAATGTTTAGAACTCCTTTGGGCATAAATTCAGGTAATTCACCATGAGCCTTGTGTCTACTTACCAAATCATATATTTGATTAGCCAGTTGCACTTTTTCATCTGCATCTTCCAAAGCCTTATAATAATCCTGTTACAAAGAGAGGTTTTTTTTAAATTATGAATGTAACAGAATGAATTTCAGTCATTTTAAGCTGTTGTTACCCAGCACAAAATGTAAGTTAAAAGGAGGAATTCGTCAGTTTTCAGAAAGACTGTGAAACTCTACAGTAAACAGCAATCAGCTATATTTTAGATGAGAGATGTATTACATAGCAATTTCTTGTTTGTGCTTTAGAAAAAGCCATACTACGAGATGTGGACACTTCCTGCTGCAGTGATATTTAGATTTCTGCAAGAAATGCTACAAGAATAGAAACAGTCTTGGATTTATTTTGTATTATACAGCCTCAAAATGAGATGATGTCTTTTACTTTGTATAGATCTTTAGGACCATTGTAGATACTACTGCCCTTCAAAATAATGCTAAACAGTACTGTGAAGGGAGGCCTTTCCAGGACTGCAGTTAAGTAGAGATAATGATGTATATAGTTTATAGCTTAAATTATTTTAAAATACATTTATATGACTCATAAGTGTATTATAAAATAATTTGACTAAAGCAATCCAATTTAAAAATCTGCTCTAACTAATGAAAATCCACAGACAAACTTTTTTTTTTTTAAATTATATTTACACATGTTTTTACTCTAGAATTAAACAGGTTTAAGTGCCTTTTTGTTCTCTATTTCCACTGAAGAGTATCTTGCTTAGGCAAAAGCTACTTGACATTTTGGTCCAACTAGTCAAAAGCAATTTTTTCATTTATTCTAGAGAAGTCAGAGCTTTGACTTTTTCTTTTTTTTAAACACATAAATCTATTTGTATTAATTAAGGAACCCCCCCTGCTTTGGCCAAATAAGGGGCTGAAGTAGCAAGTGTAGGAGACTAGAGAGGAGCTTCTCCTGACAGAATGATGGACTACCTTGCTAACAATACCACCACCAGCGCATGAGTGTTGAAGGATAAACCAAAACATATCCATCTTCTTATTCCTCCCTCCCTAAAGCTACATATACCATATATATAACATATACGAGGACATATGCAGAATCACAGGAAATGCTGAAGCTAAGCTTGAAAAATATCCTCTAAAGGAAAGCCAATTAACTTACGCAGCTTCATATCACACAAGCAGAAACAAAAAGTCTGAGCTGAATATTTAGTACCTGGTTTCCTCACCATTTCAGGATCATAATTTTCAAAATGTTAGCAAATACTAGGTAAAACTTGAGAGAAATGCTTGATCAAAGAAACCTTTCAGTCATTTTTCTCCTTCTAGGTAGTTCTATCCATCTCTGTGAAAGCCCAAGGGAAGTCACAGTTGTGAACACTTACGTCTCCATCAATCATAAGCTATTTTTTCCTAAGGTTATCTTCATTTGCAAAAGAAAAATGTGACCCACTCCTGTGATATCCTTACTTTTTTGATTGATGTCATTTGTTCTTCTCTCCATTCAGGTTTGTTTTTCTTTGCGTTCATAAAAAATTCATTTACCCTCTGCTCGAGCTGGTCCATTGCATCTGTAGCACAGGAAAAGATTAAGATAAATGTTATCTTCTCAGATATATAAACATTATGAAATAAGGTGGATTTTTTTTTTTTCTTAAACAAAGTTGACAGGACTGAGGTGCAAGCTATTAGAGAGGAAAAAAACCAAAAAAACCAAAACAACCAAGTGACAGCGGACAGAGGAGGGAAATATTTACCTTTATATCCAAGAAGCAGAATTGCATTCTGGTAGGATTCTCATCAAGGTTCTTGTGCTCTCCAGCATGGGACTGGCAGGACTCCAAGTTCTAAAGGTTTTTTGTCCCTAAGAGCAGTGGTAGTGACTTAAAGCACGACCCAAACTCCTCACCCAGGGCTCTAGACTGCTGACTTTGGAACATTCTAGCCAGTTACAAACTGAGCAGGAAACAAAATGTTCTCCTAAGAGAAACAGTCAAATACAAAACCAAATAATTGAAAAAAAATTAGTGCCTCAAAAAGGTAGAGCAACTGAAGAGTCAAGTCATCGCCTTTAAGTCCAGGCCCTCTCCGTTGTATGCTAGGAGGGGTGAGAGCAAATTGAAAGCACTCACAAAATTATTCCCCCCACCCCCACAGGGTAGCACTAAGGGGTTAAATGCACTGATTAAATACTATTTGGACAGGATTCTCACTTACATGAAGTTGGGAAATGTAAGGGGAAAAAATAAAGCCACCAATTCTCTAACTTTAACTATCATAAGAAAGGAAAAGGTCAACTACAAGTCATTTGTTTCGTTGTTCATTGAGACAGGAACAGGGGTTCCTTTCCCTTCACCCTCCTTAAAAAAAAAGCAAGCAGTTTACTATTTCAACAGCTGGACACTTGTGCATGCAACAGCTTGCATATTTCCAAAACCAGGCAGCTGCCTCAGTCAAACTAGCTTTGACAGCATTGCTAGTCTCAGGATAGATGGTAGTACTGAAAATTTTTTCACAGCACTGTCAGAGATACTGTCCAGGTAGCAGTTTCAAATTGAACGTGACAATGCACCACCTGCCTACAGACTTCAGGCTCTGGGTGTAAACCACTTAAGATACTTTCCAGAAACCACCATTAAAACTGAATCACATGACAACCATCATCTCTTACACAAAAAAAAAAGTGAATTAACTAGTTCAAGGAACTCACGAATCCCCAAGTATGATTACCTCTTCAAATCCAACAGAGCCACTCACTCTGCAAAAATTCACAACTAGAACTAACTGTTCACATAAATAATAAAAAATCATTCCTACTAAATGATCAAAAACGTTCATTGATTTTCCCTATGCTGGGAACATCCAGCATCAAAACCGAGAGGAACCTAACAACTGGACAGAGCGCAATTAATGGCAAGCCAGAAGAGTTGTGACGTAAAAATCAACTTTAAAAAGAAATCAACTTTATTTAGACCCAGACAAACAAAGTAGTCAAACAGTTTTGGTGTAAAACAGGTTACAGATGGGCGAAATCTGTACCATGTGCATTTTCCACTTGCACTAGATTATTCAGGGAGAAGATTAAGAAGCCTGAGCAGCAAGCAAGCAGCACACACTTTATGTGGAGGCTTCTAAAACTTTGTTCTTTGACCAAATGACTCTAATTGGGTCCATAAAGCAAACAGACAAAATGTTTTATCTCCTATTCCCAGAGTGCAAACAGCTAGGTGATAATTATTCTAATGGCTCCACAGACATGAAAAGAAATAAAAAAAATTGCCCCTCTATTTTTTATTGAGGACGCTCATCAGTCTGCGTGAGACCCCATAAAGGAAAACTTCCACAGAAACTTGGTCTCCCCTGAAAGGGCAGAAACAGCAAAGGGGAATGCAGGTCAGATCTATTAAATGATATCTGAAGTTCTCACTGGTACACTCAAGCTCCCTCTCCTCTTTTTAATCGGACTGTGATACTGTATTCTGAGATACTAATTTCTTAGATCAGATTTCCCAAGAGAGTTGCCAGAAATTCTGTTAGAAGAGAGGCCTTTTTCCAGAGCTTGACATTTTACCATGGAGGCCTGATAATCCATGATGTGAACTTAAATAGAGAAACACATTTTATGGTCCATGTGGAGCTCAGTTAAAGCTCAAGAGTCAAGTCACAACTCAGATGGCCTTCACTTTTTCCACTGCAGCCTTATCAGGACGTACAGTAGCTACAGCTGGTTTATTATTTCTTCCAACAACAAACAGCAGCACCTGCCCCATGAAAAGTCCATGCAGTCCAAATAGGACAGAATATAAGGTCAACATTGACTCTGAAAACACAGCAGCACAATTACCGCTGAATTACAACTCATGTAGGGTTCCGGGACAGCATCACTCATCAAAGTACTGTTTTCAAGTACTTCAGAGACACTAAACCTTCACAGCAAGTCTCTATGTCACAGCATGAGAACAACCTCTGAGTTCGCACGTAGCATTCATCAAGCAGTTTGGGAACTGATGTTGAAGAGATGCTAGTCCAGAAGTTTCACAAATGTCTTTGGATGCTTTGTCACTCATTGTGCAATCATTACAGAAGGACCAAGGTCAGAGAGAATTTTTCTCTGGGCCTAGGGCTGGTCTTAGCACACAATATTCAGCATTATTTCCTACTTCCAGTAATACAATATGGAGTGTTATTTGCCACTTCCAGTTAAAGCAGAGGAAATGACACTACTGCAACCTTGGCAGTGCTACTTGGCTCAGTTCTGAAACATACTTAAAAAAACCCTACTAGCTGCTTTGCCTCCCTACTAAACAGAGGAAAAATCTGTGAACTTACTCAGAACTACCTGAGCAGTCAGTGAGCTGCTCACTCTTTCTCCTCATGCTCCCTAGGGTTAGTTACTTCAGAGGTGTTATCTCCCATAGGAGCCATTGCTCTGTTCCCATAAATTTAAGCACTGAACCCAAGACAGCACTTGGGCCACAGTATTAAAAAAAAAAAAAAAAAAAAAAAATCCTATAGCCAGTTCAACATGTGTCAATAAAGCCTGTTAAACAGACCTGCTGGGTCCACTAAAGTAAATATCCAAGGGAAAGCCTGAGACCTCACTTCAAAGTATTGCAGTTTGAACTATTTGTTTTCAAGAACTGTGCTCCCCCATACCGCTGCATTTTGTCTTCCTAGGTGGCACTCACTTGTTATTCCAACCCTTGCTCTTTCTCTCATTCTTCTTTACAATAGTCCGACCCTTCTGTATTGATGACTCCTCTCATCTTTTGTACAGCAACAGTTCCATTAACAAAGACCTTTGAGTCACAGCTATAGATGAACATATTAATTGCGCGTTAAATGACAGCAACACCTAACCAGGTGTTATGGGACACCCAAGTCCCAGATGAGACTGCATTATGAAAGATGAAAAGGCAATGCATCCTGCCAACAGCGTAAGGCAGCGTGTTGCACCAGGATGTAAGCCGAGAGATACAAAGTGGTCTACAGAGAGACCTAAAGCAGACCCTGTATTCAGTCAGATGCCAGCTGGGGCACAAGAGGCTAAGCAGAACGTGCCTTCGCACACACCCTTAGGAGCGAAGCTGGCTGGGAAGTTTCAGAGACAGCATGCCGCTACCTGCTGAAGGAGCGGGGCATAAATCACGTTCCAAACCACCATCACTGCTCTTAGGGATCAAAAATCTGAAGAGTTTGGGACGTGCCACCGAAAACGCCTCTGGGAGCAGCACAAGCCC